GAATGCAGTTAACAACCTGCCGCGTCCTCTTGCACTATTCACGCAGTCCCACCCCACACCCTTGTTTTCGCATAAAACCCACGCTCCTCTTGCAGCCCGCGGTCGTATTCTTCCAGGACAGTCACTTCAGCAAGTAGAGAAAGTGAGGGTGGGCAGACACATCGAACTTTCCCACGATATCAGAGAAATTCAGGAATGAAAATGACGTTACATATGAGGTTGATGCATTTGTGCATGTCGTACTAAGCAAGGTATGAAAACAGTTGCTTTATGAGGAATTAGTTCGTACCATTGAATATTTGACGCTATAGACAAGGTGTCGCAGAAACCGATGTTGCTATAACCAAGTTTTACTGTATCTATTTTCAAAGGGACCATTTCCACATCCTAGGTTTGTTACTTGTATGGATATATGGACTTCGCAGACAAGCGGTGGCCACTTGGTCAGTATAGTTCACGTGAAGACTACAGGCCACGGAGTTGTTGTTGTTGTTGTTGTTGTTGTTGTTGTTGTTGTGTTTTTTTTTTTTTTTTTTTTTTTTTTTTTTTTTTTTTTTTTTTTTTTTTTTTTTTTTTTTTTTTTTTTTTTTTTTTTTTTTTTTTTTTTTTTTTTTTTTTTTTTTTTTTTTTTTTTTTTTTTTTTTTTTTTTTTTTTTTTTTTTTTTTTTTTTTTTTTTTTTTTTTTTTTTTTTTTTTTTTTTTTTTTTTTTTTTTTTTTTTTTTTTTTTTTTTTTTTTTTTTTTTTTTTTTTTTTTTTTTTTTTTTTTTTTTTTTTTTTTTTTTTTTTTTTTTTTTTTTTTTTTTTTTTTTTTTTTTTTTTTTTTTTTTTTTTTTTTTTTTTTTTTTTTTTTTTTTTTTTTTTTTTTTTTTTTTTTTTTTTTTTTTTTTTTTTTTTTTTTTTTTTTTTTTTTTTTTTTTTTTTTTTTTTTTTTTTTTTTTTTTTTTTTTTTTTTTTTTTTTTTTTTTTTTTTTTTTTTTTTTTTTTTTTTTTTTTTTTTTTTTTTTTTTTTTTTTTTTTTTTTTTTTTTTTTTTTTTTTTTTTTTTTTTTTTTTTTTTTTTTTTTTTTTTTTTTTTTTTTTTTTTTTTTTTTTTTTTTTTTTTTTTTTTTTTTTTTTTTTTTTTTTTTTTTTTTTTTTTTTTTTTTTTTTTTTTTTTTTTTTTTTTTTTTTTTTTTTTTTTTTTTTTTTTTTTTTTTTTTTTTTTTTTTTTTTTTTTTTTTTTTTTTTTTTTTTTTTTTTTTTTTTTTTTTTTTTTTTTTTTTTTTTTTTTTTTTTTTTTTTTTTTTTTTTTTTTTTTTTTTTTTTTTTTTTTTTTTTTTTTTTTTTTTTTTTTTTTTTTTTTTTTTTTTTTTTTTTTTTTTTTTTTTTTTTTTTTTTTTTTTTTTTTTTTTTCTCTTACTTGTAGTTATGATCTGTAAGTGGTCAGTAAATCCAAACCCTGTCTGTAGTCACTCATACACATGACAGTGCATTCATGATCTACACAACAGCAGTTGATACAAGCAATTATACAATGCATGGTTTTGTAGCTCCTGTGTTGGGGAAAACATGAATTATGTAAGATTTGAGGCTTTCACGGCAGTGACTATGAAGAAAGCAGTCTTCTGGGATTGTGCCAAATCCCAGAAGACTGCTTTCTTCAAAACATGAATTGTTGCACATGCTGGTAGTGACCAAGGCTTTCTGCCAAATGCATATATCCATTTCATGTTACACCAAAGCATGGGAAATTGTCACAGTTATATTAATTGAAAAACAGCAAAAAATGGCTGAATGAAATATAATCCCAAATATCCTTCCATAAAGTGTTTTATCATAGCCAGTGCTTTGTCTGTAATACAAGTTTTCTGTTAGATATAATGACAACATTGCTACATGAGCTGAGTGTTCCTAATGTAGAACAGACTGCAAACTGTATTTGTTCCAGTTACTATATATATATATTTTTTTTTTGCATCCTGTTCCGTGAGTACAACTAATAAAACAAATTCCACCGTCAGCACAACTATAATTTATTAACTTATGTTTCACTACAATTTTTGACCCTTATAGGGTCATCCAGAGGTGTTGTGATTTACACATTTTCATTATTGAATAGTAAAGCATGTATTCATATTTATGTACATAGGCTTCATCAGCAGGAGAGTATGACTATGCATTCAGGTATCTGTATTCATTATGTTTGCAGTGAAGATATTCTGTAAATGATATGAAAACTGAATATGTATGTAAATTATAAATATTGTGTGTTGAAGATCTTCCAGTATCTCTAATTTTTGTGATGATAATTTGTATGTATCTTTTCATTCAATGTGTAACAGACGTCATCCCTATTGAGCAATGAAGAATACAGTCTAGTTACAATAGGAGGTGCATCAGAACTTGAGAATCTTACAGAAGAGGAGGAAATTTGGATGATACAGTGTCCAATTTCTGTAAGTACATGGCTATGTGTACTGTATTTCGGTTTATAGTAATTTAAATAGAATTTGTTGAACTGCAGTCTTGATACAGAGTGTTAGAACTATATATGAATTTCGAAAATAGAGAATTTTTTTTTGCACTGGGAGGCGGGGGGCTGGCTGTCAGAGTACACTTCATAGCCACAGCTGTGAGAACTTCAAATTCTAGGTGATTAAGATGACTTGTTTAACCCTCTATGAGTGAGGAAGAATGTGAATGGAGGATGTCGTGGCTTGGTCTGGTTTCCACTAGAAGAGAAATCAGAAAGCTTGGTATACTAGGGAACATTCATGATATCATAACTAATGTGCATGATAAGCTAGTCATCTGCCATTTCTTGCCAAGAGTTCTGTTGTACAAGTAGAATGTATATTGTTGGCTTTTTATGTGCTATCTCTAGTCATTTTTGTTGTCAGCTAGCTCTTAAGCTGAGCATCCACACTCCTCAAATTGGGCCAACCCATAATGTATAATTGTTATTCACAGAAGCACTGTCTAGAAAGTACACTGTGCATTACAGGCAGAGCTTCAATTTGTCTTCAATTCTGGACCATCCAGTAATATTCAAGAATACCAGAAAATTACCTACATTGAAGGTTGACCCTGGGGGATGGGATTTTTATGCTTTAAATCAAGAAAGTTGAAATTTGAACAGAAAGTTGCAATTTAGTGTTCCCATCAAATATCTGCCTTAATCTTAAAAAGAATGAAGAAATATACTTTACAAAATAATTAAAAAATAAATAAAAACAGAAGGGAAACTTCTAATTAAAATAACCTCACAGATTGACATAAATATAACCGAACTGAAGAAATCTAAGAGGTAGAGGCGGGGAATGTATAAAAGAAAGAGAATAAATCCTGTGAGCAAGTGCAAACATGTCCTCATTATGTAGTTGAAGCTGGAAAGAACAAAATTTTATGAAAGGTAAGTTTTTCCTGTGATTGTAGTGAGGACAATATGAAGCACAACTGCAAAAAGCAAAATGCATACTTATGAACATACCTTGACTATATAGTGTGTGTATTTTTCTTTCGGGGGGTGGGGGGCAGTAATCCGAGAGAGGCTTTTACTTTGTTGAGCATGTCTCTTGAATGAACAGCTACTCCCTTTTTGTCTCAAGAAGTCAAATCAGGCTGGCATAGTATTATCACATATGAAGTGTTTGTGTGACTGATAATAACGGGTTCTAGAGTAAATGAATAGATCTATTGGACACTCACAAGTTGTAATTACAGATAATTACAACACCCTAAAGATTACTATAACTATAACACATAAAATAAAGTCTTCAACGTCTGCTTACTAATCATTGCTTGGTAACAAATTTTATTTGGTTAACACTTCAGCTATGGAACTGCCTTGATTGATGTCTGTCTCTCATGAATCCACTGCCTTTTATAACTGTCACACAGCCCTCATAGATGTCATCATGTCATACACTTCCTCTCTTCTCTGTTTCAGCCGTTGCCAAAAAACATGCCTCAATTTTGGAGCGAGGCTTTGATTCCCCCAAGCCTGTTCATTGTCGTGAAACATGTTTTAACACTCAGTTGTCTAGCAATGGATTATCTCATCACAGTATATTTTGATACAACACTAATGTTGTCAAGCAGCTTCCTCTCAAAATGTAGGCACAGATGTGTTTCCGCATCTTTGTTTTTCATGTCTTTCTGCAGCATCACACATGTCTTCAGTGCTGAGTCTTGATGTGAGAACATAATCATCACAAATGACAAAGTCAGAGTAACCAATCTTGGAAAATGGTTTCCTCCAGTCATCCTCATCTTCATCTTCTGTGGGCATGTATGTTGTAGTGAACCCTGCCTTTGTAAAGCAGTTAATAGTTACTGCCAAACTTACTGCATTCCTGGTGGCCACCATTATGTCTGTAGCCTGAACAACATTAAGTCTTGAGTTCTCTCTTCCTCTCATTGGCAGTAATAGCTTTCTGAAATACTGACCTCCTTCAGACAGTGTATCACACACAGATCAAGGCAGTAGAGTCTACACATACAATTTGCAGGGAGATATACATCCCCTACGTTTCTTTAAAAAGTTCTGTCTGGTGAGTGGGCAGGGTACTTAACAAAGAGCAGAACTTTTCTGTTTGATGATCCCATCCTGGCATCAAATTGACGAAGAAAATTGAGAAAAATATTTGTTGTCATCCATGCATTAGAATTATTTGTGTACTTGCATGTGTAAAGTTGTCCCTGTGCTTAATTTGTCAAGCATAAGGCCATGAAGATATTTGGGGGAGTGGAGGTTATAGCTCCACCATTCTTCACCTCAGTTCTAGATGGAGTTGAGTGGTCTGCTTCACACTCCTTCCACTTTATCCCAGGGAAAGAACCCCTAGTACCCATTGGTTAGGAGTCTAGGCTGGCTTGTGGAGAAGAGAAAATTCTTGCGTTGCTGAGAATTGAACCCAGGCCATCCAACCTGTAGCCTGTTTCTATACTGGCTGAGCTGTCATGCCTCCAGTGTACTTGCATTGGATAGTGGATATGTTTTTTAAATACCTAGGTGTCACAGACTTTTCAGTCTAAAGTGGTGCCAGCTTCTCTGTTACCTTGGCATTGCAGCACATCAGTACTTTCAGACATCATTCTGTCTCACAATTTCTTTTCACCTGGCAGTCTTCTTCTCTTATATTAAGACTCTTGTCTGGCATCAGAGAATAAAATAGTGAGTTTCATCTGCAGTCCTAATGTCTTCCAACATTCCCACTTTCTCCACTCACACCACTCTATATCCCACATCATGCCTCAATGTGAACCTGAGAAGCCATTGTCTGCATCAAGGCAAAGTTGAATTTCATTTTCCTTCTAAATGGTAGGTCCATTAATAGGAACATTTTCTGAACACATCTGTTGGAACCATGTCAGCAGAATATTTTCCAATTCATGATAAGCTCCTAGCTTCATATTCTTTCTATTCTAGGCCCTTACACCACACTTAAATTATACATCTTCGTTTTTCTCTTCTGAAACCATGATTTTGCTCAACATAGATGGAGGAAGCCCAAGGTGGTTTGCCATTTCAGTGCCTGAAACATTCAGATGGGCTTCTGCTTCACCAGTCATATTCTATTTGTCACTTATTGTTAGCTTCTTCATTGTATTCACAATCACTAATTCAGTTTTAATAGTTGCTGAACAATGCACAGAAATTACACACATGCATACATAAGTATGAGATATATTCTTATGCAGTTAGAGGTAAATAGACTGATGTTAAACAGATTTGTAGACTTGTACTGCAGGCAATACATGGCATACATATTTTAACACAGCTTTGAAGAGTTTGTAGTATATGCAGCATGACATGGCCCCTTCCTGCAAGTTGCTAAAAGTCAGTGAACATCCACATGTATCTAAATTTTGAGGTTTTCACAGCGATGACTATGAAGAAAGTCGTCTTCTGGGTTTAGGCACCGTGTATTCTTCGTTTTGGCCAAAACGAAGAATACACGGTGCCTAAACCCAGAAGACGACTTTCTTCATCCACATGTATCGTTCGCTACCCAACCAGCCAATGCAGAAGCAAACCTTGACCAAACAGCATGCATAAACCAGAGATGGGCAAATGGTGGCTCCGAAGTTTAGTGAAAACAGTAAATCAGGATATTGACTTCATGTAAAGACTAATACTTGTCCACTAAATGCATGTGTGAGGCCTTTTCCAGGACCCCAAAAAGTAAACATTAAATGTGGAGAAACCAAAAATTGGGATTCCCTTGTATATTCCTAAATAGTACATATTTTTATAGCATCTTATGGATTGTTCTTTGTTATACACTTTGTCGTCGACTTACGGCCGGCCACACTTATGACCACAAAAAAAAATGAAAAATAAAAGATGATTAAAATGTAAAAGTTTTTAAAAATAAATTATAAAGGTGATAAAAAGATTAGAAAGGTTAAAAAATACTGTTAATAAATATATGGCTGACATACGACCTGTTAGTCAGAATGGAAGTCGGTCGTAAGGTGACGACCAAGTGTATTCTGTTCCTTCAAGTAGAAAAATCACTTTGAGGTAACCACCCTATTCAGAAATGTATTTAAATGATTTTTTACCTAGCTCCACAAAAGAAAGTTCTGGGGCATCAAATCCGGTGGTCTTGGATAATTTAAATAAAGTTAATTTGACGGGAATACCTGTGCCTCGTATTGCATAAATTCTCCTGATGTGAGTAATGAGATATATATATTGCTTTGTTTCATTCTGGTCCGTCACACTAACAATTACAAAGACAAAACAACTCCGTCCAGTGTGACTATTTAAGTTTTACTACTTGAAAAGTTAGCACCCTTACATGTTTCGATCCTTACAGATCATCTTCAGAAGGAACATCAATACTTATTTGGAAACTACTATCACAATAGGCATTCTGAGTGCTAAATTGCATACACAGACAATGCCTGGTATATACAGTATACACAAAATCCAATTTTTCACAATCACAGCAGTTTTCCTGGTATTAAAGTTTTTAAAACTTTGTTGTTTAAGTTAAAATTTATAAACCAGGTAGGTCCCTGTGACTTCTCCTATGGTCTTTCTTGAAGGGTGCTGGATGGAGTTGTTTAGTCTTTGTTATATATATTGCTGTTTGGTAATTAGTCACTTGTGTAAGTTAATGCTAACGGTGAACATGTTGAACCTCTGCAATCTCGGTGTAGGGATTTAAAAATCCTACTACTACAGTGTTGACAGCCATATTTAAGCTTGACAGTTATAATATTTGTATTGCAAATAGTGCTACTATGTCTGCTGGGATCTCTGGGCCTGTGTGTGGGCATTCATAATAGTCCAGCACATGGTTGATAAAGGTTAACAAGCGGTCTGTTGGTTTAGGCAGTGTGCTGCAAGCTGGAAGGTCATGAGTTCGAATCCCGATGAGGTATTTGGATTTTTCAGTTGACCTCATTCTTCCAGCCACCTTGTGGCCCAGCCTCTGACAGAGATGAGTACCAGGAATCTTCCTGGGGGTAAAGGACACCCTATGCATTAGGTTTACAGCCTCACCGCTATCTGTGAGCTGATTGTCTATTAAATGTAGGAGCCTTAATATCTCACAACCCTATGTGCCTTCATGGTCTGTTAGAGGGATAGCTTTACCTTACCTTTACCCAAACTGTGTGTTTTTGTTTGTAATTTATTTTTTACAATTCAGACTTTCCAACTGATAAAACATTTTCTTTCAGATAAATCCCCAGGATTTACAAAATGAAGAATTGGTTTTTGGTGGAAAGTCAGACTTCACACTCCAACTCGGGGATGGAGAGAAATATGAAACAGCATGCTATGTTGACAGGAAGAAGCCTGTGCCATGCTTGCTGCCAGGCAGAAAGAAAGGCTCCTTCAAAGCAAGTGAGTTCACATAGTTGTAAATCTTTTGTATGTCTTCCTCCCTGTTAGTCATAAGACTGCTTATCCTTTTCCTTGACATACTCTGTCAAAACAAGTGAGTTCATATGTCTTATAAGCTTGTGCATATCGTCTTGTCAGTCTCATATTGTTATGGGATTGGTTATCTTCGCCTTTTTCTTGATATGCATGCTCTGTCAAAGCAAGTGAGTTCACGTGTGTCTTAGAAATCTGGGCTAGATATTGTGTTTGTCTCGTATTATGTTTTTATGGTATTGATTATCCTTATCTTTTCCTTGACATACTTGCTCTAGTAAAATTGGTGAATTCATATATCTTATAATGCTATGCCCATCTTTCTGTCCATCTGATGTAGTTATGAGGTCAGTATATCTGTCTTTGTATGTCTCATGCTGTTGTGAAATTATTTGTCTTTACCTTTTTGTTGACACACACTGGCAAAGTAAGTCTAATGATCTGATGAATGTCTGTGTGTCTGTCTAATATTGTTATATTCTTATGAGATTGGGCATGAAGGGCGGTTGTATCCTTTTCATATACTACTTGTACAAGGACTACAGCCAGAGCACAACAATCTTTGCCTCTAATTTTGTTGATGGCCTCTACACAAAATTGTAGATGAACTGACTCTTTGTGCTGTATATTGTTAACTGATGAGACAGCGTTCACATGGGGCTGAGTAAACAGTCTCTCCAACTTGCATCGATGGGCAGTGGGGAATTCTCATGCTGCTCAGTGCCCTTCATTTCACCAAAGATTTGGGCTGTAATCATGAATGATTACATAATTTGACAGTTGGAATTCAGTAGGCTTATTTCTTTGAAAGAACACATCCTATATATTGGAAAGTGCACAGTTGGTTGAACAGCCATTTTCTGGACACACAAATTGGCCACAGGGGTTCTGTCACATTCTTCTGTTTTGAACTCACATTGGTTTATTCTTATGGGCATGCATCAAAGGAAATATATACGCTGTGGAACTAAAAGGTTGTGCCGACTCATTAGTTAGATCCTGGTAGCTGTGACAGATATTACAGGCCAACCTAAGTAGCTATTTCTCATCAAGAGCTGCATTTGAGTCACCCTCTTTTTTTTTTAATTCACTTAGTGGGGGGTGGAGTCCAACTGGGTCCACTCAGCACAGCAGCCACGGATTGGCCTATTGTACCTGCCCCGGGTGATTATGGTGATGGAGAATTTGTTGGAATGAAGATTGGCAGGGGAAACCGAAGTACTCGGAGAAAACTTGCCCCAGCGCCTCTATGTCCACCACAAATCCCACTTGACCAGACCCAGGATCGAACCCGGGCCACTGCAGTGGGAAGCCAGCGACTAACCGCTTGAGCTATGGCATGGCCTTCACTCACCCTTAAGCATGCATATGAACTGAAGGAGGTAAAATTGAGCAGTTCTTATGGAGAAGTACATAGAACATTGTTTGCACTATAGGATTTGTGTTACCACTAAAAATTGTTGTTATATGTAATGTAGAACTGCAACTGCAAGAAGCTAATAACTTCAGGATCTTTGCTTCTCATTCATTGCACTTTAAAGCAATGAATAAAGGTGTTTAACTGAATGGAACAATAATTTATTTACATTTTCTGCATCTAATTATTTCCCCAACAACTTATAGACTTTGGCTATAGTCTATGTATTTGATTTGTTAATTACATAATGTCCTTGATATAGAAGACCTTTTAAGAATTCTCAGAATGTAATGCACATCAAATCAGACTTTTACAATATGGTAACACATTATGTAACCTTCATTGGCTGAAAAGGAATATACCATAATATGTAGTTGTAACTTATACACATTCACTTCCATCTTTAATGCACATCTATTCACATTTTCTCCTTAATTTAAAATAACATTCAAATCACAAGCAGCTGCTACATGTCTCAGCCTTATTTGTCCATCCTCAAACAACTGTTAACTTTTCTAAACTTCCACACTGCACTAGTTCTTAAGTCAAAGTATTGAGGCGTGTAGGGCCATTGCTAGACAGTGAATCTGTAAGCACACCAGCCATGAGGCCATGCATGCACTTGCCTCAAAACAGGCCTCAGACATAATGTTACTGTATCAACCAGCTGTCTGCAACAAAATCAGTAGGCTTCTCTCCAAACACAGCATTATGACAATTCCCATACCTGTGGAGAAAGACATCCATATGGACAGACCTATAAAGGAGAAGCTAGGCCTAAAAGTCGCTGGCATTTATTGTGTCTCATGTGAGTGCAGTAAAGTGTATGTTCGGCAGATGGGCAGAACCATTGAAACCAGGTGTAAGGGGCATATGAGACATGCCTGGACCAGTCAGGGTAATCAGCAATGGCAGAACATAGATTTGAAATGGGCCAGAACATCAGATTCAGCAGTACCACCATACTGAATATACTAATAGGCTACGTGGACCATTTAGTAAAGGAGGCCATTAAGGTCAAGCTGCACCCCAAAAACTTCAACAGGGATGAGGGATTTCAATCTCAATCGGTCATGGTGCCTGGTTACTAATGTAACAAACCAGTACTGAGATGGACCAATCTGGAGACAGGACCAAGACAAACTTATGACTCCGCCCAGTAGGACCCCATTGGCTCACGCTCAGTTCTTGTCATGAGGTTAATGTATATATAGATGATATCTATGTAACTGAACAGTTTGAATCTTATGTAACATCACACCCTTTTGATGGGGTCAGAAATGGTTTAGCTATTATTGTGTTCTGTGGGACTGGGAAGTCAGCTATGAGATCCCTCTAAAATTGGATACAAGAACCAAAGGTGTGGATCAACCAGAATGCTCTTAATTTTTTGTATCAACAAGAATCGCATTCTGGTACATTCCTGTCCAATTTGTTCACTAGATATTACTGAAAATCCCCAAGAATAGAACCCTTATTCAGCATCTATGTCCAAAAAGCTTTCCTAGGCTTTGAATAGATTTGTACTTGAGTCATCAACTTCTTAAGGGTAGTTTTGCTTTATTGTATCCCTCCTGAGGGTTGCAAAAATGTTGAAATGTTAATAGTTCTCTCCAGGTAACCATTCTAACCTTTTTGTTTTACAAAGTGCCGAGATGAGGCAGAAATATGTAAAGAATCTTAAATCCCCCACTTATCTCATCAGCCTTCTCATGTAGTCCACACCCCCTTAGCCTTGATATTTCATCAAGCTACTTTTATTAAAAAAATATTTTTGCAGTAATGATAATGGTATTACTACAGTAGTTACATACATTTTTGTGTTCTGCTTTTTCTGGTGTAATGTTGGACACAGTTAAGAAATTCAGTTTTGTGTGGTGAGCTTTAAACAAGAACTAACACACAACTCCACATTGCCTTATGAACATTGAACTTTGTCACAATATTGTATTTAAGCATCATATTGTGTGTAGAATATTTTATTTAGTTTCAGTCTCAGAATATGTATAATTCTTGGATGACTATACAGTTTCTATATTACGATATGTTTTGGCCATCATCAGGTACTATTTATACAGGTACTCTCAACTCTCTCTGTTATTCTCGCTCCGTTGGCCAATGTTCACAAATAGGGGACGATCATGTTGTTGTTTACTATATAGGTTTTTAGTTATAGATTTAAACAGATACTGTAAATTATAAAAAACCTTTGTTCTAGTATTCCAAAAGGTATGCATTTTTCACAGTATGAACATCTTTTAATCTTGCATCAGGCTTAAAATCCTTTATAGCTACCTTGGTTTTAATCAAGTTAAAGTAGATAATTTGAACTAGTTAAAATTAGACCAGTGCTGGTTAATTATTATTATTGTTATTGCAATTTTTATTACATTTTATTTATTTTATTTGGCCCTAGGTTCTGTGTAATGATCGTTTTTCTTGATGAGCAGGGTAGAGGAAGATGCAGCAAGAACAACACAAGAAAGCAAACAAGAAGAATACGCATATGTAACATAAATCCAGTATGTGACAAGAGAATACACGTACAGGTCCGGCAGGGAAACCTGATCATTTCTAAATTAGTATAATGGAGTCAGTTTTTATTTCTTTTACTTGTCATAATACATAACAATGTATGCCATTTTATGAGTATAACTGCCAGCTCATTTTGTCTTGAAAATCATGCCATCTCTTTGTATGCATTCTTGCAGCCTCATCTTGAAGATATTCATTGTGCTCTTACCATATGGGTGGGTACTGCCATGATTTCGTGTTCAGTCGTAACTTTCAGTTCATGAAGTGTACGTGGTCTGTTGATAAATACTTTCGCTTTGAGGTAACCCCGAAGGAAATAATTGCATACACTCAAGTCAGGTGACCTAGCAGGCCATGGAAGATCACCACGCTGAGAAATGACATGCCCAGGAAACATTTCTCACACAGCTACCATGGAAGCTGTCACAGTATGAGCTGTGGCCCCATGTTGTTGAAACATCATGGTTTGTTGATTAATTCCACATTTAACTTCTGGTGCACAGAAATTATACAACATGCAAACATAGTGACCAGAGTTTACTGTCACAGCATGTCCCTCCCCAAAGAAGTGTGGACCTATCACACCAGAGCTGCCCACACAGCACCAGGCTGTCACATGTTCAGAGTGAAGAGAGGGTTCATGAAGCTGTCATGGATTTGCTTCTGACCAATAATGGAAGTTCTGTTTGTTAACACACCCAGATAAGGGGAAGTGTGCCTCATCACTCATGCCGATGGCTGCATCATCTGCCACAATTTCAGGCATGTTTTGCGCAAAAGCAATGCAGTTCACTCAGTCGTGTTGATGCAACTCTTGCACAGCCATCATTTTGTATGGATTAAAATGCAAATCTAGGTGCAATATTTGTCTCACACTCTGATCTGAAATGCCTAATGCAATGGCATGCTTCGTTGCAGAACGACAGGGACTAGTCACTACAGCCCACCTAACCTCAACATTCTCAGGTGTTCAGGCAGTTGATCTGAAGTTTGTGATCCACAACAAAATTGTGTTCCTACTGGGAACTTTACTGTAATGATCCACATTAAAGCACACATGGAAATGTCATTGAATCAGGGGTAACAGAGTCCCCAGTTTTAAAAAACATCTAACGATGAAAGCACAGTGTTCTGCAGTCCACTGTTCCATGTCTACTGAAATGGCGTATTTTCAGCTGTTGAAGGTCAGTGAGCCCTCTCTTCCCACACAACCATCACCTGAACTAGTAAAGTAAAGGTATCCCTGTAACTGGCCATGGAGGTCCATAGGGTTATGAGACATTGAGGTTTCCACATTTTCTAGACAATTGGCTCATAGATGGTAGCATGGTTGTCAGCCCTATGTGCTGGCCGCCCTTTACCCCAAAGAATATTCCTGGTACTCATTTCTGTTAGAGGCTGTCAACCCCAGGGCCATAGTGTGGCTGGAAGGATTAGGTCAATTGAAAAAAATCAAAGTACCTCATCAGGACATAAACCCGCAACCTTCCGGCTTGTAGCATAGTGCCTCAACTAACTATGCTACCACATGCCCCTTCACCTGAACTAGTGCCAATTTAAAAATGTCAGGTTTCCCTGCCAGACCCTGTACCTACGAGAACCTAGTTTTACCATGTAGAAATCTATATGTGTGTGCGTGCGCCTTGTGTGATTGTTTTTCCATGAAAGTCAATGAAATCTGCACTGTTATGAACCACTGATCTGTCAGTATATCCCTCTGGTGCTCATTGTGCACAGTAATAGAAACAAGTACATTTGCTGGTCATGTCAAGCAGAGGGGCATGACTACGTATTGTTGGTAATATCTATTAAGTGTCTTCCATCGACAGTTGCACAATTTCAATGAAAATAACATGAAAATACTCAGTGGTGTAGAATCTTTAGTAATGTGGGGTGCCTCATTTTGTTTAAACCCTCGGGGCCCCCCTGCAAACCCATGTATTACAGATGTAGGTCAAGTTTGAGTACAGCCAGTCCATTGTGTGGAGTCTGTCTGTATAGTGTCTCCTTTATCACTATCAGTGCTTATGTCAAATGGAGAAATGTCTTCACCAGATAATTGTTTATTAGAATCAGTGTCTAGCATCAGTCCTTGTGCTGTGTCTTGTTCCTGAAGTTTCCACTTTGTATCCATCTTTATGTCTTATACTCAGAAGGAAGAAAACAATGAGTATTGCATGTCTACCGCTCTGAATGTAGAAACTGTGGTCTGTGGATAGTCTTGGTATGTGCTATGTACCTATTCATGGAATGTAAAAAGGAAAAAGAAAGTATTTTATGTCAGAGGTGAATGAAATTGAGCTGTGATGAGGTGTTGAGGTGTTGGAAGAAAGTACTGAAATTAAAATAGATGAAAGTTGACAGTTATAATATACTTCACTTGAGATGATGAGCTAGTCAACTGATGATCAGCTATAGCCCAACTTTGCACTGAGAACCAACACAGCATTGAATTTAATGAAAGAGAAACATTAATAACATCCAGATATATCTCCTTGCGTCATCAGGGAAGCCATTAAAATAATAGCACATTAACACAGTTTCAGCTGTGAAGATGGATAGAAACTAAGCAAAGATTGACTTCACCAGTTTTCCTTGAAACTTTTCTTCTTAACCACAGAACTCTTTCCAGTGGATAGCACTGTGCTATGCTGCTTGCCCTTCTACACAAACCAGCCCAACCCTTACTCAGGGTCATCCTAAAGATGGTGACTGAAGTGAGCACCAAAATGTTGGAATGGCTTGAATGCACAAAGAGGCTAAACATTTATGTAATTTCTTTCAGAAGTGTTGCAGCCTGAGGGTCTGATAGTTATCATGGAGAAGGTTGAAATTCCAGAACTGAAAATTACACTTCCAAAACAGAGCAACTTCCAGATTCCTAATGGGTTAACAGTACGTCATCCTCTTTTTGGGCAAGGTAATGTCATTACTTGTGACAGATAGTAGAACATTATGTATTTGTTGAAATCTTAATCAGTATAGTAATCAGTCATTTATTAGTTTTGTCCAGTCCCCTGTCACTTCCACATTTTTGGATCCAAAAATTCTCCTCAGCATTCTTTTCTGACATCCTCGATCTGTATTCTTCCCTTAGTTGAGAGACAAAGTTTTTTGTATTCACTTATTTTGCAACTACAAAATGAATATGACAACACTGTCCAGTGTGACAGTATATATTTATATAGTGCCTTTACATGTTTTGGTCAGTTGTGCTGTTGTACTCGTCTTAGTGGTAGTTGTAACTGCAAATAAGTTTAAATTTATTCATTCTGGTCCATCACACTAATTAATTATTATAAAACTAATATGACAACACCATCCAGTGTGACTCAGTATATATTTTTACAGTGCCTTTACATGTTTCGGTCAGTTGTGACCATCTTCAGAAGGCAATCACAACATGCTAAGGAACTACTATTACATAATTCATAATACAGTACATATGCTTAAACTTTTGTATACAACTTTGTTAAAGTTAAAAGATGTTTGAGTTAATATATTATTAATATTCTTAATATTTAAAATCTTGAACCGCTGAGGTTTGTGTCTTTGTGCCTCTTCTGTCAAACGGGAGATTGGGGTGTTTGTTATTTGCTGTCCTCTGAGGTCTGGGCAGCATTATTTCCTCCCCTTTTTTCTTTTTTGTATGGTTCATTAAGGATCTGCAATTATATTATGAGTATTTTTATATAAAGGTGTATGTACTTAATATTTATTTGAGTGCTGTCTTATGTATTCCTACCTGTGTTGTTGTCACGTTGTTTCTCCTCTCATTGTGTATTGAGGCACTGATTTGTGGTGTGTTGTGTGGGGTATTTGTATCCCTGCTCCCTTCCTGTCTTCCTTTTCTTACATGACTTTCCACGCTTGTCTGTTTGTGCCTAGATTTACCTTTTCCTTGCTGAAATGGAGATACGGGTGGATGGTGCTAATCTAAGCTTTTAACTACAAGGTGTGGCAATAAAGAAACCGGATTCATGCTCTAACCCTTTATTAAAAAAAAATCAGACAGTCGAAATGTTATCCCCTTCAATGTAGTCTCCTCCCCGATCCCTACACCGCTCCATGCGAATTTTCCACTGTTGGAAGCAGTGCTGCAGGTCATCTTGTGTTATGCTCTTCAAGAGTTGCGTCGCTTTTGCTTTCACTGCATCCACGGACTCGAACCTGGTCCCTTTCAGCGCAGACTTGATTTTTGGGAAGAGAAAAAAGTCGCACGGTGCTAGGTCCGGAGAATACGGTGGATGTTCCATCACTGGAATGTTGTTTTTTGCCAAATACCTCTTCACAGATAGCGCGTTGTGTGCTGGCGCGTTGT